AATAATAAAATAAATAATAAAATACAATATCAGAATAATAAACTAATAAAATAATAAACTGTTCTATAACAGTATATTTGCAGAATATAGAACGTGCATTTAACACTAATGATTTTATATTGCCAAGACAAAAATATGTATTTAGGGAGATATTGCATTTATGGAGGTTGTATTTAAAGAGGTCTGACTGTAATTTGTATAAATTTAACTAAAAATAAGACAAGTTATGTGTTTTGACTTACTACTATTAGTTAATTTTTAATTTATTTTAAAAATATTTTTTAAAATATTTTTTATTAATTAATTTTAGCTAATTAAAATACAAAAAGTTAAAAAGACATCAAATTTCAATATAAAATTTTAAAAATAAAACAAATCATGTATTTTGTTTTTAGATATTCTGCACTATATAATAATTAACAAAAATAAATCAATAATAAATTTTAATTTGGTATAATATTATATAATCAAAAAATTATATCACGTTTGTTTTGACACCTGATATTAAATTTTGATTGGTCAAAATTACCGGGGATGAACAATTTTTTGTGGGATAGGAATCGATTTAGTCGACTAAAAAATTTCTATGTAAATTACTATGTTTAGTCGATTTAGTTGACTAAATCATATAGCCGATTTCTATCCCTAAACGCTAACCTACGAGAGGTGATCATTTTGATGATCATAGTAATTTGAAAAATGCAGTAAATGATCAAATAAAATTAATTAATAACTTTTAGGGCAATTCTATTTTCACCCAGGTTAAAATCACCCGAAATATTACTAAAACTAATAATTTTAATTACGTAAATGACATAGTTTATCGGGTGACTTTAACCCAGGTAACTTTTATTAAGATGCGCCAATGGAAATTGAGTATTCCAAAGTTACCGAATTTAAGCAACTCTCTCCAAAGTGGGTGGCTTAGGGGTTCTTATTTTCAAGACTTTATGGTATGTAAAATTACATATTAAGAACTTTTACTTAAAGATCTAAAATTAATTTATATAATAAAATTTTGAGATATTTAAAATTTCTTATTTTTAATTTTTTACCATTCATTTTTGCTATACTAGATTCTACGATTTGATTGGTTAATTATATGATTTAACCAGGGGGCAAGTTAGCAACATTCTCATATAAGCTATTCACATTTTGTAAAACATAAAGACGCATTAGTCCCTCCAAATCCAAATGAGTTGGTCAATGCAGCTCTGATTCCAGGATGTTGCTGCGCATTCAATGGGACGTAATTAAAAGATAAAAAATCTGATGCTGGATCACCAGGATTGTGAAGATTTAGAGTTGGTGGAAGAATATCCTAGCAATTCAATAAGAATTAGAGAACTTCTAGTGAAAAAAGCTTTGAGTAATTGTTAACTTACATGGTATAATGCCAAAATAGTAAATATGGCTTCAACGGCACCAGCAGCTCCTAATAAATGACCTATGGATCCCTTGACCGATGATACCGCTAACTTATGAGGTGATCCTGAAGCTTCAAAAATTGACTTGATTGCTCGATTTTCAGCAACATCTCCTAAAGATTGTTATATTGTTATAAATCTTGATACGAACATAAATCATGGCACAAAGGAAATTCAATACCTAATAAGGTTGATGTAGCATGGGCATTAATATAATCAATATCCCTTGGAGATAATTTAGCATTATTTAATGCCCTTCGCATAGCTAATTCCGCGCCAGCTCCATTTTCTAACGGAGCTGTCATATGATATGCATCACCTGTTGTGGTAAACTAAAGCATAAGTAATGTTATAATGAATGAAACAAGTATATTCATATTTACCTGATAATCCATAACCTCGAATTTCAGCATACATGTGTGCACCTCTGTTTTTTGCATGATTATATTCCTGTATTAAAAAAAAAAAAGATATTAGAAATAAATCAACTAGATAAATCACAAAATAAAAATCGACTAACCTCGAGTACAACGACTCCAGCACCTTCACTGATGACAAATCCATCTCGATCTCGATCAAATGGTCTTGAAGCCTCTTCCGGCCTGTCATTATACTTGGTTACTAATGATTTTGCTCTGTTTAATGGACAAAATATTATTACTCATGACACCAGGGAAAATATATATGTATATATATTTATTAATTAACTCACTTCGCAAATCCTGCCATAGCTAAAGGTAATATGCTAGCTTCTGATCCACCGGCAATCATAACATCTGCATCTCCGAATTGAATAAATCTACTTGCGTCGCCGATAGCATGTGCCCCAGTTGTACATGCTGTAGATACTGCGTGATTTGGTCCCTTTAAAACATTATGAAGTTTTATTAATATGTTTTAAACAGAAATTATGAAGAATTGAGATAACTTACACGAAATCCATACTTCATCGTTAAGTGACCTGCAGCCATATTTATTAATATTTTTGGCACAAACATCGGACTTACCTTCTTAGGACCCTTTGTGCATGTATTCAATTGGTCTTATTTAGTTATTATTATTAGAGTAGAATTTAGCAGACAAGTAGTACGCTTAATGATTAACGATTAGCAATTATACTTAACGATTAACGATTAGCGATTATGCTTAATGATTAACAATTAGCGATTATGCTTAACGATTAATGATTAGCAATTACGCTTAGCGATTAACGATTAGCGATTAACGATTAACGATTAGCAATTACACTTTACGCTTAGCACTAAGTAAA